TTTAACACAGTTACAGATTTTTTCAAAAAAAAATTATTTACGCTCTCCTGTAGGTTATTACTTTCGAACAACCAAGCTATAAAGTATATCAATGATTGATATTATTATAATTTATATATAATATATTGTATTATATCATTATAATTATATTGAAAAATCCTGAGGTAATCTGCGGTATTTCTGGACACATTTTTTCAAAAAAATTGGGTTACGATAACCAAAATCCGCATTTTTACTTACTTTTTCCTTGCTTTTTACAAAACTTCTGCGTCGGGTTTTGCTTAGTCGAAATTGCTGACGTTTCGCCCATTTTCCTCTTGGCTTCTTCAGAGCTTGACTGAAACTGAAACCAGTTTCAGTCAAGCTCTGAAGAAGCCAACAGGATGATTGGTGAAACGTCAGCAATTTCGATTAAGCAAAACCCGACGCAGGAGGAATCCAGAAGTTTTGTAAAAAACATTACAGTAGCCTGTGGAATTTTTCTTTCTTTTTAACAATAATTAATATTTCCAATATACAAAATCTTAGAAATTTTAGATAATTCATCAATAATTATTTCATTTTGAGGTATTTATGAAATAACAATTACTTAAATTGGTCGCAAAATAAAATTAAAGAAAATAGGGAGAATGTAGCGCAAAATAAAAAAAGGAAAAAGAAGATGATAAGTGATTATGAAAACATGATAATAAGATTCCGAAAATTTCGAAGTTAAGAAAGAGCTTTAAAAAAAAAAATGTTTTAAACCGCTAGAAAGTACGTTAAGTTACAACTCTAAATTCTTTTTCACAACTCTGAAATCATATCATATTATATGATTTCAAATGGGCAGTTGAATAAAGAAGCTCAGGTATCACAAAACAAAGATTTTTTTATTTATATGTGCTTAGTTTCGAAGTCGAATTGAATTGTTAAATTTCACAGGCACTTTTTTGAAAATTCGATATGAAAAGGGGACGGGCGGGAGGTTAATGTATCCTATATTTAAATTTATTGTAATATAGGTAACAAATTGTAGCTATTTTTCACGATATTTGTAACATCTTTTGTTACCACTATCAAGTGAAATAAAAGTAATAATTTTTTTTAATGCTTAGAAAGCTCATCTTTTCATTTTACCATTTTTAATTTTATTCCAATTAATGGCATGGATTTTTTCCTGAGATTTCGTTCACATTTGCCTATGTGTGTGGTGTGTTGTGACAATAAACTTTAATTTATCATTGAAATTCGTGGAAAGTATTTTGAAACGCCCGGTATTTCTAGAATTAGTTTTAACTCAATATTCAAATCAATATCCGTCAAATTCGAATACGAAAAGCAATAAATAGGTTCTAATTTTAGAGGTGGCGTTTAAAATTTTTCCAGCACAATGACTCCACTTATGAAAATAAATCAAACAATATCCTTTTGTAACTATTTTCGAATCACTTTGAGGTTTCGGGTCGGTTTTCAAACATATGCCTGATAACGTCCAACTGGTGTCTATAAATAAAAAATTGAACTCCATTAAACGGATTTAGAACATAATACCGAGAGGAACGCCGAACACTTTCAAACCAAGCGCGGAGTACGTAAAATAAAACCGTAAATTAAACTGGGCCTATTTAAAATCGCATAAAACTTGTATACTTATAAGTAATCAGAGTTCCGAAAAAAAAATATCGGGCTCGTCCGGGATTTGAACCCGGGACCTCCCGCACCCTAAGCGGAAATCATACCCCTAGACCAACGAGCCGCGTAAATGCTGAGCCTTTCGCAGATATTCACGAAGCGTTTTTACACACGCATGAAAAAATCAATCGATACGTTGTCCCATCGCTTATAATGAAATTAGAAATACAAAATAGTATCTTCAGATAGAGCACACATGAAACTAAAATGGAAATAATGTACACGAATATTTACGTAGGCAGCCAACAATACACGCAACCAGTCTGCAGTTATAGGTTTTATTAAAATTCTTGTTAATGATTTATATATACCGGATCATAACAGTATTAAATTAGAAAAAAGTTGTTCATTTTAAATCCTGCTAAAAATTAAAAAATATAAGGTAATTTATAAAAATCGTCAAAATTCACACTGTTAAAGATCTAAAAGTAGACCGATTTTAGAAAGAAAAATGCTGAAAGTTCTATTATTTTTTACGCTATCAGCTTCTATTTTTTTTAACTTTTAATCTGCATCCAAAAAACGTTCTACATGACTTGAAGAAATTTAGCACCATCTGAAATCTGGAAAATGAAGAATAAATTTTGAAATTTTCTTATGGGAGGCATATTGGATTTAAATTTTAAAAAACTCTGATTGCGATGATATAACTTTTATTATATTTCCCTTTCTTGAAATATTTTTAGGAAACGAATAACGCCTTAGCTGGAGTAGTCTAATTTTAAAATAGATTCAATGTCGCTGCGACCACCCTCTTTATCTTATTTAAATCGAAGGCGTGACGGGCCAGTCCAGAAAATTACCCAACGGAACGCATTAAACAAATATATATGTTCTCGACCCTGAACGGCGACGATTTTCGAGCAATCGAAACGACTTCACTCCGATTACTAATGACTTCGTTTATTCCACACCATAATCGAAATCAATATGGTGGCATGCGGGTCATTCGATGCGTCGCGTGGGAAATATACACCGACTGACACAATTGACAAATCAGCAAGAAATAAAAGTCGAATAGACATTGAACTGGAAAACGTTGACATCGCGTAATAAATACAACAGAATCGTCCACGGACATATAAGGCTTTGTCGAACATAAGAAGCGCTCATTCTGCCTCTGTTAACTTTATAAATGACATTATTGTTGTCCACTTATCAATTTTCGACGATCTTTATTAAGGATGAAACGGGTATCTGTATTAAGAAAACATGTCGGCCTTCTTTCGTTGTCGTGTATTGCTTCAGGAACGTACCAGATTGCTTCACAACTAATACCATGAATAAGAAATTTTATTCACTATAATACACTATACGCAGAGGTGTGGTTTTTACAAAAATCTACTTCATTTGATTACATTTACATTTAGGATAGGTACTATGTGGCCCCAACTGAAAAGAGTATTCACTAATTGCAATATACAAAAAGTGTTCGCAGTTGAAAAAATATTTCAAATGGTTTCTTAAACATGGAAATACTTACAGAATTCCTCGTTGACTCTTTTATGAGTATTTAAATATTAAAAATATTAAGAATAGAAATCAGAGTCAAGCATATTAAACCCACATTATTGGGATTTACTTATTTTGAATTTCCCGCAGTTTTTATTTCACACTAGTATTAAATCGTACCCCTTTCTATTATATTCCAATAAAAATAGTATCTTTTGTTTTTATTGACCGAATCAAACAATTTTAAGTAATGTTAACACGGATTCGCACTGTAAAAACGATTCTGTTTTTAATTATGAGTCCACCGCGCAAAAACATAAGGTTAAATTGTGTGAATTAATCTTGGACTAAATACTATTAAAAAGTAAAGAGAAAAAAGTAAAAAGAAATAATTACGTATCGATGTTTCTGAAACTAAAATTCGCATAATCTTCTATTACCAAATAGAATTAAATCACAATATATTGTGTAATTAGTCGTAATACATGTCAATTGTATAGGCTGATCAATATCAACTCCAAATACAGTAAAAAAATTACTTATATTTTTGCCAGGTACGATAATTCTGTGTTTATATGTACAGTGAGAACTAATCAAAAAAAATATGAACTACATAATACCGTTTTTCTTATTGGCCCGATACTTAGGTACTCAAAATGGAAAATAGGAAAAACACCTTAGATTTTATTATTTTTCAATTGATCTTTTTCTTTTCACGTATTGATTCGCGGATGGAAAAATGTGATAACAATATATTCCGCGATATATTTGAATACATATTTATAATACGATTTTATAAAAGGTTTCGTTTTGCAATGAACACTTAAAAATAATACAAGTTTTTTTTCAGTAAGAGCCTTCATGGTTTCTTCTTTCTCTTCAGATTTGTGATTATAAAAATCTCTTATCAACGAAATATCAACAACTGCCGGTCGCTTAAAAGTCGCGTTTGATTGCGTGAATCATGTTTTCCCTTTTATGAAATAAATAATCATTTTTAGGACTCAAGCCCTAAATAACTGTAACTTAAATGAATAAGTAAAAAAATATGGCTCTTTTTTATGTTAAATTTATTACATTTATTACCTACTGTTTCACTAATTATTTCAATTGTAAACATCTTTGTGTATTACTATTATATGATAAAAAAAGGCAAAGAAAGCTTATGATATTAAATATCTTTCCAATTTTATTTTCACTATTGTATTGGAACTCCTTTTAACAACAAAGTTATAACGTCATTAATTTTTGTGAACCAGTTATTTAATTCTTCTTCTTCTAGAAGGCATACATACAAGTTCCATTAGAAATCACCCACGTGTGATCAAGGCCCGAAGTTATCCGTTCATCTTGCACTATTAATAATCCAAATTGTAGATGCGTATCTTTATGTAAATCGGAAGCCTTTCGTATACTGCGTAATCACAATATTGATTACCGTATTATTTTCCAGCCTAATTTTGACATTTCCGCAATTCAACTCAGATCCTCTTATTTTTTAAATGCAGTGGCGTACGCGTACAAATTTAAAATGTAAAAGCTCCTGTAAGCCTCCGCGCAATGTGTCTTGTCGTATATAGTCGAACAATCACTAATTTTATATTCAAAACGAATTTTAATCTTTTGGATCACATAGTTCATAATGTATACTGTCAAATTTAACTGATTATTAAAATGTCACTTAGTCCGGACGAGGCTTTTAAAACGCTAAATATATATAATATAAGTTATAACACCATTAGTTTTTGGGGACCAGTTATTTAATTATTCTTCAGAAGACAGAAAATCTCATATCAAGTGATCAAGAAAAATCGATTGACAGCGGCGTCCTTTCAACTAATCGAGTACATCGAAAAACGCGCAAAAAGACTTACCCAGCTCTGTAATGATGGTTTTCAGGGGTCTGTCTTCCACTTGATTCAAAGTGTCCACGTCTAAACAGGCCTCGTAGAGACGCTTCAAATTCCATTCTACGGTACCCGTGTGCAAAGGAACCGGCAACGTTGATATTAAGTCTCTCACTCTCTCCAGTTCTAGAAAGGATTGGATAATATCGGTGGTAACTCATCATTAGCATCTTAGTTTCATTACTGGGGAATTCTGATGTTTCTATTGTCACCGCTAGAGTTTTGTACTCAATATTTGTCGATGATGATGCAAATCAAATTTACACTTATTACTCTAGTAAATTCAAAATCGTCTAGAGGATCAACTTAATACGAAGAAGTAGGTTGTATTTTGCGTTCTAATTTTTACGGCGTAGACCAAATTTCTGGCCAAATTCCAAAAAATTGTAGCCCTATTATTGATCCCTACATTACAAATACAATTAATTAACCAGGAGCAATTTTCTGATCTACATGTTATCGGTGTCCTTCCAGTAACTTCTTAAATTTAAATAAATTAAATTTAAATTTAATTAATTTAAATTTTAAATTAAAACTTAAATACTATGGGTTTGACAATTTAGCTCTAAATTTATCTAAATCATATTTACGTGGCAGGTCTCAGAGTATAAATTACAATGGCAAAAGGTCGTCGAGGGTGAGTGTAGTGTCTAGGGTTCCACAGGGTACAGTTTTGGGACCTTTATTTCTTTAAAATTAGACAACTAGTGTTTTAAAATCTGCAGTTGCCTGAAGTGCGCCGTCTTACGCTAATAATGAATATCCCTACGCTCATTTTGATGTCAATAATGCTAAGAATACTCAAACAATGAATAACAATGAATTGAACAGTTTGTATAAATTATCAGTGGCACACAATCTTAAATGCAAGTAAAGTCTTATGCAATATTGTTTGGTGCAAATAGAGAGTTAACTGTTGCTAAACAACAAATTTCATTGAAAATAAATAATATTCCCTTAAATATTGTTGATTCTGTTAGAAATCTTGGAAACATCTTAGACACGGAGCTTAGCACGAACATATTAAGAAACGTTTATATTTAAGCAAACATTTTCTCAATACAGCCCTAAAACATAATCTATGCGAAAGCTTAGTGTTATCACTTTAACTATTACGATCTTATTTATGGCCCTCATCTAGATCTTGAGTCTAGGATTCGCATTCAGAATAGCGGTTGTAGGCTTACTTGCAATATTCGTAAATCTGATTATGTGTCACAAAAAATAAAAGAATTGGTCTGGTTGAAAATATAAAAGCGTAGGACTCTTGGCAAACTTTAATAATCAATCAAGTTTCAGTTACGTCATCAGAGCCATTCACGTTGTAATTTAAGAAATGATGGTGTGTTTTCAATACTTCCTTGTTTAGGTGAAACTATGTCTATAATTCACTGCCAGAAAATTAAACAAACTTTCTTTAAAGAAGTTGAAAAAAGAATTTAAACAACACAAACTTTCTGGGTAAAAATATTAATTGAGGTATATCTAATGATTTGTGTGTGTGTGTGTCTGTGTCTGTGTCTGTGTCTGTGTCTGTGTCTGTGTCTGTGTCTGTGTCTGTGTCTGTGTCTGTGTGTGTGTGTGTGTGTGTGTGTGTGTGTGTGTGTGTGTGTGTGTGTGTGTGAGTGTGAGTGTGAGTGTGAGTGTGAGTGTGAGTGTGTGTGTGTGTGTGTGTGTGTGTGTGTGTGTGTGTGTGTGTGTGTGTGTGTGTGTGTGTGTGTGTGTGTGTGTGTGTGTGTGTGTGTGTGTGTGTGTGTGTGTGTACTTTTATACCAACTTTTATTTTTTGTTTATTTTCGATTCCGTCTATTTCTTTTTCTCTCGCTTCTAGTGGTTGAGCAGAATAGCTTTTAAGCTAGACTTCGCCACATTGAAGCACTTTGATTATTTATGAAATGTCATATTGGAAAAAATGTAATTAATAAAAGACGTTGTTTATTATTATTATTATTATTATAGGTACAGGATTATATATTAATAATTTAATGTTTAAAGGGAAGGAAGGGAGAATGGAAGGGGCACATATACTCTAGTATACTTGGGTATACTAACTTATTATACAGGGCCGCGTAAATGATGATTTTATTTTTTGTACCCTTGCATAAGCCATGGTGAAATTTGGTATGCACGTATATAATTAAAAGGTCCAATTTTTGACATAAAAACAATACCTCAAAATGTCAAAAGGTTTTATCACGTTCTATTCGCATACCAATTGTGAAAACATTTGATTAGTCAGTCAATTGTTGCTCCAATATTTATCGATTATAATCTTACGAAATGAAATTAATCCACAGATTGAAACAATTGTAGCAAACAAGCGAAATGAATTTCAAAGAGACATATTTTTTCAGTAGGACGGTGCGCCACCGCATTATTCAAGGCCCGTTAGATTGGTAAATACTACTTTTGGATTGGAAAACCAGGTCCCATTGAATAGCCAGCTCGGCCGCCAGACCTAATACCCCGGGACTTTTTTCATGGGAGATATCTACAAAGTAAAATTTATGTTACAAAACCAAATTCATCTGAAAGAGTTCGAAATGTTTGTGTTAAATTATGATTTTATATTTTAAGAGTTAAGTTAGCAATGTCTATTTTGTATTCTGTGCTTTTTGGTTGTGGTCTGTGTTTTTTTGTTTTGACCAGAAACTAAGAGGAACGCAAGAAAAACGGAACTGTGGTGGTGGTGCACATGTTTTAAGGAATAAAGATTTAGTTAGAAGAATTCCGTTTTTATCATTTTTTAACATGGTAGCAGAGCATGGTTGTTGAAAAATCAAAAAGTAAAAGAAGAGAGAAGTAACATGGCTACTGAAAAGAAAGACGAACTGATCTTGCATGTGTTTGATGGATCGGGTTATGACAAATGGAAATTTCGACTTATGTTGCTGCTGCAAATGAAGGATTGTGAAGATGTAATTAAAAAGCAAGAAAGACCTGAAACAATCACCGAACTGGAATGGAACAAAAAGGGATTGAGAGCAAAGAATTATAGAGTAAGCCGTCTCAACAATACACAACTGAAACTAGTTATATCACAGCCTACGGCAAAACAGATGATACAAAAATTAGACGAACTATATTTGGTAAAGAGTAGTGCTATTAAGCTGTTAGATTTAAAAATGAATGAAAGAGATAATCCAACGGAATATTTCAATGAATTCGAGAGACTATGTAACGAAGGAACGAAAAATACAGGAGAAGACAAACTAAACTATTTACTGCTTGCGTTGCCAGAAAGTTTTTCTCGTATAGTCGACATTGTATATGCTTTACCTGAAAAAGAAAAATCGGTAGAGTATGTGAAATCAAAACCAAATATAGAATTTCGAAAACGAGAGAGTAATAGTGGAGACAAAACGTCACAAGTGTTCATTGTTTCACGTGGAAGAAATCAGAGAGGCAGCTCAAGAGGAGCAAGAACACAAGTCAGCAATCAAGAAGTCAAGGAAGTACATCAAAAGTAGAAGATATCGACAGCAATTACACATTCCATGTGGAGGTAATGATGACAAAAACTGAAGATTCCCCAGCAAATGAAGATCACATTGCATGGCTGTTGGACAGTGGATGTTCGGACCACATAGTAAATACTGATAAGTATTTTTCAGAATTCATAAATCTTACAAAACCAGTAAATGTCAAGGTAGGTGACGGTTTTTCCTTAACATCGGAAAAGATAGGTAATATTAATGCATGCTTTGCAGTTTGTGGCAGAACCATAAAAATAAATATTAAAAATGTATATTTTGTGCCAAATATGAAACATAATTTGTTAAGTGAGTTTTGTGAATAATTTTATTACGTATTCCAAGTATAATGCTAAAATTTTTGATTGTAAAGGTACATTAATTGCCATAGCCACAAAAAGAAATAAGTTATATGAACTAACTACTAATATTTATGATTACAAAAATGCAGAATCTTATCATACAAATACAAATGTGCAAGAAATGATAAAGAAGGAAAAAAATTTTAAAAATTTAAAATTGATGTGTAATTTACAATTAGCAATTACCAAAACTAACCAAAACTAACCAAATAGACTAGAAAATGAATTTGTAAAATGTGAAAACAAAATGTCGAATCTAAAATTGGAAAACAAAGGAAGTAAAGCAAATGATATACTAGAGATTATTCATACAGATTTGCATGGTCCAATAAAACAGGAAGGTTATGAAGGTGAAAAATATTTTGTAATTGACGATTTCAGTAAAATTCGGTAGTTTATTGTATTAAACACAAAAAATAAGTATTTGATCGTTTTGTGCAAGATGTCAAATTAGTTCAAAATCAAACGGGAAAGAAAATTAAAGAAATTCATTGTGATAATGGCAGAGAATATATAAATAAAGATTTTTACCAGTTCACTAACAAAGAAGGAATATATCTACGACCAGGACCTCGTTATACTCATGAGTTAAATGGCGTAGCGGAAAGATACAACAGAACAATTATGAATAGTACTAGATGTTTACTAGCTAAAGCAAAACTTGATAAATCTTATTGGCCAGAATGTATTCGAACGGCTGCCTATATAGGAAATCGTTTGTTAGCAAACACAAAAGTTCAAAAAACACCTTATGAAATCTTTTTTAATAAAAAACACAATGTATCTAATTTACGCTTGTATGGAAGCACCGCATTTGTTAGAATTCCAGAAGAATGCAGAGAATCAAAATTAAATCCAAAAGCAGTCAAAGGAATCTTAGTAGGACACACCGACTTGGGCTACAAAATTCTAGTTAACGGCAAAGTGATAATTAGTAGAAACGTACAATTCATTGAATGTGACACAAAACTCCGCTATGCCAGTCCCAAGCCTGGGGTCTCATCACGCAAGAGATGAGGAAGGAGGAGGAATCGAGGAGTAACACCTCGTTAAAAAACCAGGGTTCATCTGGCCCGGATGATAGTACTCTGTAAGGGCCCCTGCCAGGGTACGGTGAAGATAGTCAACGGCAGAAGGAGCAGAAGAGATATGAATATTCCAATGGTCCGGAAGGCGGAAGAACAATCTTCAAGGGAAGGCTGATCTCGCAAGTCCAGTAAGACAGTCAGCCTAAAGGAAGACAACCTTGATTAAAAATTACCTTCAGAAGGCAACGGGAAACCACTGAAGT